ACAAAGATCCAGGGGAAATGTAGTTTACCTACCCACGTTTTTCGTTTTTTTGCTGACCAAGTTTAACTGAGAGGCTGGCTTCTTGGTTCACGCTTCGCCTGCGCGTTTGGGTTTGTTGTTGAAACCAACATTCAAAGCCCCTCTCTTCTTCTTCTTCTTCTTCTTACCTTTGTTGTTTCTTTTCTTTCTTGTGACATGTGGCCTCGACCTGGCAACGTGCCCCTGAGGGAAAAACACCTCTGTAGTTGGAAGAGAAAGTGGGTAAGACTTTGTGTTACGCTGGTTCGGCTTTTTCAACAAGTTCAGTGGGGAAACTGTGTTGTTCTTTTGGGATTAGCTTTTTGGTTTGTGTTCCTTGTTTACCTGACTTCTCTTCAGGTTCGTCGCTTTCTTCAGTGATGTTGGACACCTTCTGGGCTACAGCCGTAACAGGACAAAGTGTCTTGTGTGTCTAACTTGTTCGTAATCCGGGGTTTTGACAAAAAATATAACTGACAACTTGGGGTTTGCGACAAACAATGGACCAGCAACTTCAACAAAAGTCGCTTTAAGAGTGCAGCTTGGAAGTGCGACTTTCCCTTCTGGCCCACCCATATAACTTCAGAGAAACACTTCATGACACTTGGCGCGCACTTCGTACAAACGGACTACAGTTGCAGTCGAAACGTTTAAACCGCCATATTCTTACAGTTGTTGACGCTTGACAGGCATTTCATTTCGCAGCGTCTCGGCGCTGCGCCCGGCCCAAGTGAGAAAGACAAAATTCTCGCAAAACAAGCGACAAAAAAAACAAGCTCGCAGCGACATCAAGCGCTTGTGTACCTGAGATGTTACAATTATTCCAACAGTTTCCATGTTTTTTTAGGTTGCGTGCAGTTGACTTGGTGATCTGGCAACTAAAAAGTCAGATGTGACTCCCTTTGCGGAGTATGTATGTCTTCTATTTGCCGTCCTTTGCTACGAGGATAGCCTAAAAGTTGGCGGCAACGTGTTGGACCAGTGTACGGCAACGCGGTTGACCAGGGTCTAGCAGGACAAAGGGTTGCTCATGGACGTATGTCCTGCCGCCATTGCGATATTGTGGGGGTTGGACTTGTTGTTCCGTTGGTTTTTTCAGAGCCGGTTGCCAGTTGTGAGTTGTCAAACCCACTTGGCCAGAAAACATTTTTCATGTCGACCCCGTCCTGCGTAGCAACATCGCTTTCCACACGACTTTTCACGTGTTTGCTTCCTTTCCGAATTCCCAAGCTGACACCATGTCAGCTACCACCAGTGAAGGCATGTGAAAACGTGATGTCCATTTTGCCGGTTGTGGCTTCTTGGGGCGCCAGCATAAATAGAAAAATATCAACATTGCAGGCGTGTTGGCATATATAGGTGATGTCCAGGCATGAAACCATGTGAGGAACACCGCCAACTTACGACCTTACCATCCAACATTTTGCGTTGATTTGAAAGTTGTTGCCTGTGCACGATGTCTTTGACAACGAAACATGCCTCGCCACCGGGGCGGACAACCAGCGGTATGGCCGTACCGTTTGTATTTCTGCAGCGTGTTTCCAATTCCTACTGGGCTTGTGTGCCGGGCATGCAGCTGCCCACGGCTAAGCTAACTCGGACACACTCCAAGTCTTAATGGGGGAGCCGGCGTGGACCGCCGCCGGTCGATTCACGTTCCTGCCGCAGTCTGATGGAGGCTTGGGTGTGGCCTCCGCGGTTCAAACTGCGCCTGCCGCGTGCTGGGCGGCTTGGGTTGGCTCGCTGCCAATCTATGCGCGGTGGCCCGGGGTCGCGGAACCCCTCCCCCCAGCCGCCTCGCTTTCAAAGCATGAGGGGTTTGGCGCCAGGGCCAAGCTGCTTTAGTAAATGCATAATTCGACCTGCAGCCCTTGCTAGTGTTGTTTGATGGCGCGTGGTGACCACAAAAGGAACGGGGTTTTGATTTTTTACTCGTATTTGTGTTGCCATGCTGCGCCGCGGTGCAATTCCTTTTGACCTCATGGCCATGGTTGAGTTTCAGCGCCGGTTTCGGTCGAGGGGTTACAATATACAAGTCCACTGCGCTATTCGGGCCGTTGGCGTTAAATGCATTTTTTCCCCGCAGAAACATTTCCAGGCAACGGATGTGACAAATTCACCGTTCTCACCAAATTGATTGTGGGTGAGGGTTGGGGGAGTTATATATGATCACGTCTGACGCTGCCATGCCCCTTGTTATTTGATTCCTTTTGGCCTGCTGCCCCCTGCCATCCTGGGAGCAAAGCAGTGATTCCACCCAGCAGTTGTGGAACACAGTGACGTGCGTGCGCTCATGGGTTTTCAATATTCTGAGTCTTTGGTCGTGGCGATGCATTTTCGCCCGCTCCATAGTTCATCAAATGTGGTACCTCCCCAAAGTGTCCTGTGCAAGGTAGTTGGGCTGCAGCCACGGCAGTGTTTTCAAACAAATGTTCGGGTATGTCACGAACAGCTCGTGCTTGGCTTGTGACCGTGATGGGCTGCTGGCGTATGCCTGAAGTGGCTGCCGAGATATGGTCTCGAAAGGAGGACAGCGGACCGCATGGACACCCAAGACCACTGGGGCTGTAGAGGGCAAGGGTCCAAACCACGCGTGAATTGTCAGTGCCAATGTATGGCAAAGAAAGCGGTTCCATGTGGCCCGAACAAGCAACGACAGTTGGATCTCGTTGTGACAGACCTGCGGCTCTGCATGTGGACGCGCCAACCACATTTTACAAGCCTTGCCCAAGGCCGTTGTGATGACATTTGCCAAAGTAAGGTGCAAGTGCAAATCCCTTGATGTCGTGTGAAGTAACACGTCCCCCGTTTTTCCGCCCGGTCAAGAGTAGAACGCGCTAGTGCCGTGCCGCCTTGCAAAGCTAACACAAAAAAGGTCCGTGAAGAGGGCGCCCACCAGGTTGAGCCTACAGAATCCTGAGCAGCCGCTTCTTAGGCTTTACGGTTCCCGGCCCTTTTTTTACCCAGCGTTCCACGATCACAGGCCACTCTTCGACAGCCTGGCCATCCACTTGCGGCACCACACCAGCATCCACTTGCACCACGGCAAAAAAACAAGTCTGGAGCGCCGCGGGCCCAGCCCCCAGGCATCACCACATTGGCGCAATCCACAGCTGTGTGGGTAAGGGGCCTCAGCCTTCCCCAGCTCGCTGGGGTCTTCGGGTCCTGGGGCTACCGCCCCTTTGCAGCAACTCCGTACACAATGCTTCCCACAACACCAGGCTTTGCCATCGAGTCTGCACGCTTTCGTGTCCTGTTGTTGCGACGAAATCGCTTGCCTTTGCCCCACGTCCCAGCCAGATGCAGATGCAACCGCCTGCTAGGCCCCTGCCCGCGTTCGGGGGCCTTGCGGACAAGGGGGGTAGGAATGGAACGGGCCATGGCTCCCATATGTCGGGAAGCGGGTGCTGCCGTCAGTACAAATGTGTTGTTATGGGACCTGAACAGCACAAGCGCACGCGCAGATGAAAGGGGAATAGAAGTCATCGCCAACGGGCTCCCGGTGTGGAATGATCGCAACTAGCGATCGACACCACGCTTGTCTCAAAAAAAAAGCACAAACTCAACCCCGTCGCCACGGACAGCTGGAACCGCAATCCGTGTGGCACGGCTTGCCAAAGAAAGGACCTACCCGGAGCTGGTGGGAGGAGGACGTGCCCGTGTCCAGACACGTCACAAAACACAACACATCCCCATCACCATATGCCCAGCTGCCCGCCACACTTGGATCTCCCACCGCATCTCTCCGCGGCAGCCATGCAAGCTCTAGCCTGCAGTCTCCTTCACCTTCCTGCCTCCGCGGCCAACGGAATTTCATCCCCACGGCCCCCCCACCCCCAGCCTTTTGCTCCGCCATCCTCGCACCTAATACCCGGGACTTTGCACACCTGGAGACTGGCCAGTATAAAAACAGTCATCAGCCCATGCACAGCTGGAGCCTGGCCAGTATAAAAACAGTCATGACATTCTGCGGCAAGAAGGCGCATAAAAAGATAGGAACCCTTGTCACACTGGACCTGGGTTAACGGAGCTCACACCGTTTGGATGTGTTTCAAGATTTTAGATGTCTGTCGTGGGCTTTGCCTGTGCCTGCCAGATGGCATGGCTGAGCCGTACGGAGTTGCTGATGCGCCGCCGGACAGGCACAGCTGCTGGACAGCCCACGGACACCAGTGCAGGCCAAGCCCGGCGACGAAGAGTCCAATACGCATGAGGCCGTGGCCGACGCGAGGTGCCCCAAGAACGCACGTACCCAGAAGTTCTTCACTGGGGGCGGTGCAGCCATCGAAGTCGCGGGGGGGCGCTTTTAGTACAGGAACCGGAACCTTCCCCCGCTTCCTCACGCCAACAAAAGCTATGGCTGGTCCTGGTCAGTTCCACTTTGCCCATGCAGCCCTTCGGCCCTTCGCAGCCAGCCTCCTCCTGGCTTGGGTCTGCCCACGTTCGTTTCGCCCGGAAGCTGGCCGGCTCACCAAGAGCTCCTCGCTGCGACCCTCAGCGCAAGAAGAGCGGGGGCGAAAAAAGGAGGGAAGACACATTTTTTCACGTGGAATGCTTGCCAAGTAGGAGGTTCTGCCACACGTAAAACATGCCTCGAGCATGAGCATGTGTTTATGCTACTTTTTCCTGCCACCTACTTCCCATTGAGCACGTGTGGCCAAATGTTTGTTTCAAGCATGGCGTCACATCATTTCGTTTTTTACCTTCATGACATGCGTGAGCGTTGCGTTCTGCGTTGCGTTCTGCGTTGCAGCGTGAGCTGCCTGGCCGCTGCCAACAGGGTCAGTGGGGTGAGACAAGATGGCGCAAGTCATGTACATAGACATAATCTTGCAATGGTAACGAGTATGGTGTATATAGCACCCGGCAACCTTTGACCAACCGCGACCGCGCATTCATGCAGAAAAATCACCCCAACCAAGCAGTGGCCAATCACAGCAGACACCTGCAGACGCTGAGATCAGAATTCCTGAACTTGTTAACTTCCACAGCTTCAGCTTTAGGCAACATTCCCGGGGCGAGATGGTTGTCAGACACGCTCTTGGTGCAGTGCACAGAGTAACATCAGTGGGCATGTACTTTTTCTCACTGCTGCGTCACACCCAACAAAACACATAAGGGTTCAACGATTTGCTAAGGCCCCTGGGCTCTGTTGACCTTTTTTTGTTTGCTTGTGGGGGCCTTATTTAGGTCCATGGTTGAAATCTCCTGAGAAAACATTTCTTGCCGGTGCGGAGGCAAGTTGGCCGAGAAACTGGTGCTTTTCGCAAGGTTTCGCATGCCCGACAAGGATTGGCAAGTGATTCTCCTTTGTTGGATTCATGGTCGCATGGTCGCATGGTTGCAAAACAGACGGGCGTGCTCTCAGGCGGCGGTGTGGTGCGACAGCCGCGAACTCAGCGCAGCTTGAGCATATGAAGCGGAGGGGTAGCTGGTGTGTGTCAGGCTCTTCGCAACAGTATTCCTTGCTTGTTTGTTTGTTTGTTTGTTACGATGGAGGCGTTAGAGCCTCTCCGTGCAGAGCCGTTCGATTTGGAGGTTTGTGACCGTTTGATGTTTTGTGAGTGTGGGCGGAGCAAGCTGGTTGAATCAGAGTGACTTCTTCTTGTGCAGGCAATGCTTGCAAAGTACGAGCAACAAGAAGAAACGGCTGATGAACAAACTGATGAAAAGGCAGGAACCCAAACATTTTTTAGGCCTTGACTTCAAATTGTTTTGGTTGAATTTGTGCAAGGTTAGCCCAGCCATGTATGAGTCATCCCTGACTGGACGGTTCCTCAGGCTGCCGAAGCCAAAAGACCGCTCTCGAGTTTCCAAGTTGGCTAGGGTCTGAGCTGATTATTTTTATTATTGTTTGTGATGGATTCGAGACACGCACGCACATACACACAGACGCACACACACAAGGTGTGCCATAAAGATTGCCCCTGTGTATTAAAAATCATTGGCACCGTTCTAGTATCCTCCCGTGCATTTGCCATTTTGCAGAGAAAACGTGCATGCACGGGAGGCATGTCAGATTTTGTGTGCTTGCCGTTGCCCCTTTCGATACCTCATGTAAAAGGTTCCTAAACATAATGCATGACGAGAAGTTGGAATGATAAGCAAAACTATATGGTTTTTATGAAGTGGTCGACATGGACACCGATTGGACGTCAAGGATAGTCAAATTAGGATTTGTGCGTGAACGTTGGGACCTTCAATAATGACCTGTGGGGGTTGGGAGCGCCGCTTTACATCTGTAATTTGGCTATCCGCCCCTGTGGAAACTGACACGGGGATGTTTTAGTTACAGCAGCTTTGGATGCGCACCTGCTGAGGAAGGAAGGCCAACCTGTTCGAACGGCATAAACAGTCGTAAATAGTTGCAAAACTTGCTTGTCCGTCAATCCTCGTCGAATCACATCCTGACGAACACTGAGCAACTGAACTTGCGATGCTACTGTAGACCAATGCAATGGCATGTCGGCATGAACATTTGCAAAGTGCAGTGCGAAGTGCTCCTTGAAACCCCTTCGAAAAGCTATGAAGCAAGGGGGGCCCAGAGAGGCACGGAGGGTTGTGATGTTCTCCAACCCTCCCAAGTCCATGGCCTAGCAAGTAGAACATATCAACTCGACAGCATTGACAGTTTTGGAGCACGTGAACCTGAAAACCATGAATGTGTCTATAGAGATCCCGGCCTTAGACTTTGGGCTAGACAATGAGGACCAACTGCACGTAGTCTGGCTGAATAGGCCGATGTTGTTCGTTGGATCGCCAGTCAGGTCTGTTGTTGTTCCTTCTGATGACTTCCACTTAACATATATACTGTAGCGCAGCTCCGTCGACATGAAATGAGCCAATGAAGAGATTGAATTGCATCTCAAAGTGTCAGGACAACACAAAGTCAAAGTCAAACCATGTACAGCAGAGCCTGCGGCAGTCTTAGCAAGATGCGCGCACAGGCACCAACACACCAGCACACCAACACCCAATTGCATTTCTACCGGCACCCGATGCAATCTTTGAGGTGAGACTGTGAAAGGGCGCGTGTGGGAAGCCCGGAGTGTTTCTGTTATTTGCACCATGGGCATGGTGCTTTGCGGGGCATGGGGTGGCAGGTAGAGACGATTTCAAAAAATCGCAGAAACACAGATCACCGCCAAGGTTTGAATGTTCAACATTGTGGCACTTCTCGCGCACTGTGCTTTCTGGAGGAACTTTATGAATGTTCGTGGGCCTTCAGTGGCTTATGTGGACATCGGTGCGGAAAAGGATGCCGTGACTTGGCTACACCTGGGAGTTGTATAACCTCCACGTCACTAGGGCATGCAATGGCAAGTGCACTTCATTCTGATTGATGCTCATACGTGGGAGTGCACCACAGTACGAAACCATCGTTCGGGGGACCATGCAAATAGGATTCACTTCCGTACCATCGAACATGGCAGAACGCCTCCAGGCTTTAGAGTTTGGAGAGATGGAGGCCAGGATGGGCTAAAGTGGAAGTTTCAAGATGATGATAACACACACACATATATAATCATAAATATATATATATAACTAACCATATTTGTTTGTATGTACAGCCCATATATACTCCGCTAGGGTACTGCAGACACGCGACTCTTGACGTGTTTCCGAAACGCCGAAACTCTGTTTTCATGGTAGCGCGTGAGCCCGGTGAAAGCGAAAGGGACCAAGCGCTGCGCATCAAGGAGGAGAGACATAGCAAGGTAGAGACCTCCGAGGAGGAGGATCAGGAAATCCCGGGAGCGGCCGATTCGGCCGCCCCGAGTGGAAAGGAAGAAAAGGAGGAGGAGCCTTTGCCAGCCACATCAGCGGCAGAATCGGCCGCGAACACCACTCCGGCGGTTGTAGGAACTGCCGAAACAACATCAGCGGTTGAAGGGACCGCGGAAACAAAAGAAGAAGAGACCACAAAAGAGACAGAAGGAGGAGAAGAAGAGAAGCCTGAACAAGACCCCACAGTAGAGCCAGAGGCTGAAGCGGCTGATCCAGCCGCACAGCCATCGTCTGGCCGAGTGATCGCCGACTTCATCACATCCCCAGAAGGTGTCAAAACAGGTTGGGAAGTCCGTGGCATTCACACCAAATATACTGAAGCCAAAGTTGATCCCAAAGCGCCTTGGAGGGTGAAGAAGAATATTTGGGGACAGGTCAAGAAGCATCCAGAGCCACAGTCCGGGTTCCGACTTCGAAGCAAGACCTCGCTTCAGTACCGGAGGCTCAAAGACCTGGTCAGGCTGCAGAAGAAGAAAGGTGTCATCACCGAAGATCTCAGGAGGCGCATCAAAGAGTTCGGAAAGGGGCGCACTCCACAAGAGATCAAAGAAGAGCGGGAAGAGCAAAAGGTCCGCAATCAAGAGAAGCGGACCAAGAAAAGGAAGACCTCAGAAGCGGCTGGTTCAGCCGAGGAGGAGGAGGTCGAAGAAGAAGAGTCGGTGAGCCAACCAAGTCCGGTTCGACAGCCTCGAACACCGGACGGGCCACCGCCGGCTAAGCGACCGCAAACCCGCGACACCGAGCGGGGACGGGTGGTCTGGGGACGTGCACTGGAGTTGAACCTCCGCATCGTCGCCCTAGCCAACGAGCGGGCCCAGCGATTGACGATAGAAAATTGGAAATTAGAGAGCCCGTTCCAAGTGCGAAAGCTTGCGGCGGACGAACTTGTCGAGCAACGAGGCCTCAAGGGTACCGTTGCATTGGCCGCCATTCGCGAACTCTGGAAGACCCCCAACGACCAAGGAAAGAGAGGATCCAACGAGGCTTGTAGTTCTTGTGACGAACGACGGCAGGCACAGTTGCCCGTGGTTCAGGACTACATCAAGCGGCGTGGTCTTAAGGGACCTGCCCGCCTCGGATCGACCGCCAAGACAAAGGCGGCACCAAAAGTGAGCCTGACACCTGGGCCGAAAGAGAAGGCCAAATCGAAGGCCGGACCAAAAGGGAAGGCCAAACCATCAGCCGCACCAAAAGTAGCGGCTAAAGCGAAGGCCACAACTGTGGGTCGTCGCCCGGAAGAACTCACACGGACTACTGTTGAAGTCCGTGGAGTGCCAAAACCTTCCGATCCTTGACCGGGCGAACCGCCCGCGACTGCCGCTGGAAAAGGAGCGAGCGGCAGCAGCAGCAGGGTTGAGAGTAGGAAACCATGGAACAGCAGGTCCAACAGCTGAGGGATATGGTACTTCAACTCCAACAGAACCAAACGAGGTTGGAGCAAGAGAATCAAGTGTTGAGGGAGTCTCAAGGCGGGGTGACAATGCTAGCCTCAGCCGTAGGAGAATTGGCTAAAAGCCTTGAGAAGAAAGAAGATAGGAGAAAGTCCCAAATCCTTATGGACACCAAAGGGTTGGGGCGCCCCGAGAGTTTGGGAATGTTGAAGGGGAGTTCCGGAAATGGGCCAGGAGCATTGATAACCTGTTCATAACTACTTTTGGGAGAGAGTTCATTGAAGTCCTGGAGTATATTTTGGAACAGGAAGACGCGATTGAATTGAGTGCTATGGAGTCCGCGTTTGGGACTGGAACCATAGCAGCCATCGATGATCTAGAGGATAAAGCTGATCAAATTCATCGCGTGCTCCTGACCCTAACCTCAGGTGAAACAGAGGATTTGATGGTAGGAGCTTCAAATGGGTTTGAAGCATATCGGCGAGTTCACCGCCGTTGGGATCCCCGAACCTCGGGACGGAAACGCAATATACTTCGAGCGATTCTCCAACCGGAGAGAGTCAAGACATGGGCCGCGGTGAGGCCAGCGATCGAACAGCTCGAAGAGCTCATCAGGCGGTACGAGTCTCGGAGGAGTGCCGCAGGGACCAGGGAGACCCTATCGGACGACATCAAGCCCGCTTCATTGGAGATGCTGGTACCCCCAGATTTGGAGAAACATCTTTTTTTGAACAAGAGTAGATTGACAACCTATTCGTTGATCAAACAGGAGATTGAACTTGTCATTGAAACATCCCTCACATCAAAGTCATCTGTTCCAAAACCAGGTTCATCAAGTTCGAGTTATCAAGGACCTCAACCCATGGATGTCGATTCGATCGGACAATGGATCGCAAGCCTGGTCAAAGGAAAAGGTAAAGGAAAAGGTAAACAGGCCAAAGGTGATGGGAAGAAAGGCTCAAGCAAATGGGGGCTCAAGTAAAGGCTCAAACCCGGCTCAAGATATTACCTGCTACAATTGCGGTAAGAAGGGGCACCGAGCGGCCGATTGCTGGAGCAAGAAACGGCCGGATGGAAAAGGCGATAAGTGGTCAGGTTCAGGCAACGGAGACAAGAGTGGTAAAGGTGGCAAAGGCAATAAAGGCAAAGGTGGACGAAGCGGCAAAGGTAAAGCCGCAGGAAGTATGGAAGAGATGGACGATCCGGATGATGGCGTTGAGCCAGCTCCGGAGGCTGATGTCGGAATGCTCATGGCAGACTTGAGTGGAATTGGAATGGCGGACACCTCATCCGCCGAAGAATGGATGAAGTTTAACCGAAGGGTTCGACGAGAGCGGCAACAAATGCCGTGTGAAAGGTTCAATGGCTGATGTTCACAAGCCATTGATTTCAGCATCCAAGTGCTTAGGCTTTGGAAGGATTGCAGTTCTTGATGCAAATGGCGGAAACTTGATTCCGCAAGGGTCCAAAGTTGGAAAGGCTGTCCAGGCGATCCTGGAGAAAGCGAACGCTGCAGAGCAGCGGAGTTGGATCCCTGTGTATCAGGAGCAGGGAGTGTACAACTTCTACTTGAGAAAGCCAGGGTATAAGCCGACAAAGGAATGCTGTGGCATCGCAGAGTTGAACGCCAATTCAGGCCGACCTGGTCCAGAGGGGCGAGAAGAGGATGATGAGTTGGAATTAGTTGATGAGGTTGAGGAGAAACCCATCCAGATAAGAGCTCCGGAGGACCCAACTCCGGCTGAGATCGAAGAGCGCGAGGCGACAGGCCATGTGCAGTATCGACGTTGGTGCCGGCATTGCATTGCTGGACGGGCTGTGGGACAGCCACATCGGACGAGGTCCGAGGAAGAGAAGGCCAAGAGCCTTGTGCCCACAGTGGCAATGGACTACACGTTCATGTCACGGGGCGGTGTGGCTTGGGACACCGCAAGGTGATTCTCAAGTTGGATGGTGAGCCATCCGTGGTAGCCTTGAAAGAGGCAGCAGCGAAAGAAACCGGCATAGACTGGGTTTCGGAAGAGTCGCCAGTAGGAGACCATCAGGCGAATGGTCTGGCAGAGAACGCCTGCAAGGAGATCAAGCGTCAAGTACGAGTTCCCCGCAGCGCGTTGGAAGAGAAGCTCGGCAAAGAGCTTAAAGATGATGATCCTGCATTGGCATGGCTGCCAAGACAGGCGGGAGACCTGTTGAGCAGGTACAAGAAAGGTCAAGATGGCAGAACGCCTGAGGCCAGAAGATGTGGAAAGCAATGGCGAAAACCTGCCATAGCTTTTGGTGAACGCCTATACTTTAGAGAAGTAGGCGAGGGAGTTCGCATCCTGAAAGAAGGACGCTATGTAGGTCACCACGGCCGAACAGGATCCATTTTGGTGATGACGGCCGATGGCGTGCGAAGAGGCACAGGAATCCGGCGGCTGAGTTCAGCCGACCGCTGGGATCCAAGCGATTGGGACCTTTTGCGGGGCTTACCGTGGGAGCACTCCGCGGCAAGGCCTGCCGGTGAGCAGTTGATGCTCGAAGAGCGCCTTGTGGTACCACCTCCCAAGGAGGAACGAGTGGCTCCACCACAGCAGAGGCGAGTGTACATCAGGAGAGAGGATGTGCACAAGCATGGAGCCACAGAAGGCTGCCCAGGATGCAGGTGCATCTTGGAAGACAAGAGGACGACCTTGCCGCACACAGAGGCGTGCAGAGCAAGGATCACCGAAGCAATGGAAAAAGATGAAGCTGGGCAAGCGAGATTTGAAGCCCATGCAAAGAAGAGAAAGGAACGGCAACAGTTTGACACTGTGAAGCCGAAAGTCGTGGCCGACAAGGACACCGACATCACGGCCGAAGACGCGGCCGGAGAACCAGAGAAGAAAGAAGAAGCAAAGAGCGCAGGGTCGGGAAACCCGCCGCCAACAGCGGCAGAGGGTGAGAAAACCTATCCCGATGACCCGAAAGAGAGATATGAGATGAAGAGGCAAGCAGCTGAGATAGAGAAGAAGCCAGTGGCAACAGCCAAGGTAGCAACAGAGCCCAAGAAGAGAACAGGAGAGCTTAGGATAGATCCACCTGGGGCAAAGGTCAAGCCGAATCCAGCCCAAGGAACAAAGAGGACGGCAGAGACCGCCGTAGAAGATCTTGATCCCAGAGTGGAAGAGAGTCCAAAGAAAACGTCTCAGTTTTCACATGTTCCAGAAACACCACCAGCAGGGTGGAAGCCAGATGCAGCCAGCTTGGTAAAAGAGAAGGAGATCTCAAAGCAGCATCTGAAGAAGATCATTCAAGGAACCTATGAGGCGAATGGCATCGAGATCACTGAGCAAGAGATCGGAGACATCGCTCATTTGAGCATGCAGATGTCAGCAGTAGATATCATGGAGATCTACTCGCCCAAAAGGTTCACTGCGCTTGCAGAGCGCTACAAGTTGCGACCGGGTTTTGCGGTCGACTTGAATGAAATGAAAAGTGACGGAACATACTGGGACTTGAACAAGTCCGAAGATGTTCAAGGGGTGCACGACATCCTTGAGAAGGACGAACCGGCGCTTTTGACTGGTTCGCCACCGTGCCATATGTTCTCACAGCTACAGAACCTCAGCTGGAGAAGCATGGCGCCGGATGTCCGGAGGAAGAAAATGGACGAAGCCGTCCACCATCTTCATACGAGCGTAGAGCTGTATGTCAAGCAGCATCGCTCAGGAAGAAAATTCCTCCACGAGGCACCTTGGTCCGCAACTAGTTGGAAGGATGAGAAAGTTGCGGCCTTAGCAAAAGAAGATGGAGTGTTCGTAGTAAAGGGTCCAATGTGCAGGTGGCAAATGATGGCCACTGACCCAAGAGGACTCCAAGGCACCGGCTATGTGAGAAAGGAGACCGGTTGGATGACCAACGATGAAGGGTTGGCCCGAGTCTTCTTGCAAGGAGTCTGCTCGAATGAATCGGGCAAAGGACCATGGCACCGACGCATCCATCTGATCGGAGGCATTGCTAGACAGGCCGCGGTATACCCACCGCAGCTCGTGAAAGCAGTGCTGAGGAGCCTGCGTGACACACTAGCCGAGAAAGGTGAGTTGAACACCTTTGATCTGTTTGCAGCAGGCCCAGTTCCAGAGATGCCTCTGATGGACCCTGAGTTCGAAGAAGTTTACATGGATGATGTGAACGGCGGCATTTTGCCAGCCGAGAAAGTGAAAGAGGCAAGACGCCTTGAGATGGATTATTTGAAAGAAAAGCATGGTGTTTATGTGCCCCGGCCGAGAGCCGAATGTTTTGAGGAAACGGGGAAGCCCCCGATTCCAGTCAGATGGTTGGACACCAACAAGGGAGATCCAACAAACCCGAACTATAGGAGCCGATTAGTTGTGCGTGAGATAAAGGCAAGAAAGACCAAAGAAGAACAATTGCCAGCCAACTTGCTTTTCAGCAGCACGCCCCCATTGGAGGCGATGAGACTGCTGTGCTCGTTGTGGGCAACAAAGAGAAAGTCCTGCCACAACCAGCCGCTGAAGCTGGGCTTGTGGGATATCTCGCGAGCACACTTTTATGGAACTCCGAAGAGAAAGATCTACATAGAGCTGCCGCCTGAGGACGAAGCCAGCAAAGATGGACAAACCTGTGGACTTCTCGTGAAGTCGATGTATGGAACACAGGACGCTCCAAACATCTGGCAGACGCACTACACAGAGACTCTGCAGAAGGCTGGTTTCCGCAGAGGCTTGTCAAATGCGTCAGTCTTCTACCAAGAAGCTTGGGACGTCAGAGTGATGGTGCATGGAGATGACTTCCTAGCGCTTGGAGACGCCCAACACTTGGAGAAGCTCAGCCAAGTCCTCAAAGATGCCTATGAGCTGAAATGTCTCGGAATTCTTGGAGACGAGGATGGAGACCGAACAGAAGCCCATTTTCTGAATCGGTTAATCCGAGTCGAAAAGAAGAACGGCAAAGGATCAATTGTGATCGAAGCCGATCGGAGACATGTTGATCTTTTGATCCAGGCATTTGGTCTGGAGAAGGCAAATGGTGTAGTGTCACCAGATGTCAAGAAGTCGGCAGATCAGCAGATGCTGGAAAGCCGCAGTCCGCTGCTTGATAAGAGCGAGGCATCGAAGTATCGTTCAGCTACGATGCGTGCTGCATATTTGTCCCAAGATCGACTCGATATTGGACATGCAGTCAAGAACCTTGCTCAAGGTATGGTATCACCAACAGAAGCCAAACTTGCTGACTTGAAGCGTCTCATCAGGTACTTGAAGAAATATCCTGATGTTGGGCAATGTTTTGGCTCGCAACAGACACCCTCAAGGTTGAGGGTGCAGGTCGATGCCGACCATGGTGGTGACGCTGTGACGCGCAAAAGCGCGACTGGCATGGTTGCTATGTACGGCATGCACGTGTTGAAACACAGCAGTAACATCCAATCCACTGTAGCCCTTTCTACAGGTGAAAGTGAGTACTACGGAGGATCTGTGGGCTTAGGCCTCCAAAGCCTATGCGCAGACCTTGGTTTGGATTTAGGAGTCACCATCGAGGGCGATTCCAATGCAGCCAAAGGAACTGTTCACCGAGTGGGTTTGGGTAAAGCCAGACACATCCAAACTCGCTACCTATGGTTGCAAGAAAGGGTCGCCGAAGGCCACTTGAAAGTGCACCACGTTCCAGGTGTCAAGAACAAAGCCGATGTGTTGACCAAGTCGGTTCCTGGGGTGCAGCTTCGCAAAACCATGGAGGACCTGCAATATGCATTCTTCAGCAAGCGAAGCAAAGGACAGTTAGATGTTTTGGAGTAAGGTCCCTGGCCAAGCTCCACTACCACAACTGAAAGTGGCTAAGCAGCGAAGAGTTTCACATGTTTCGTTTTAAGCTTGCGCAGCAGTACGGTGCTTTGCAAGAGGAGGAGTGTTTGTATGTACAGCCCATATATAGTCCGCTAGGGTACTGCAGACACGCGACTCTTGACGTGTTTTGGCTCAAGGAGAAAAGGCGTTCCGAAACGTCGAAACTCTGTTTTCAATATTCCAGGGTGGTGGGACTCGGTGTGTTTGTGTCATGGGCAGGGGGAAGCAAAGGAAGAGGAGAGCAGGAATGATAACACATCAATACAATCGCAACGACAAGGTAGAAGGAAAGGAAAACGCATGAAAGGCATATGGCGGGGGGAAGTGCACAATTATAAGCCACTGGGCCACAACACATTCGATCGAGAGAGGGAGAGAGAGAGAGAGTTGGTTGACTGCCAGTTGGCCATTGATTGGCAGGATGGATTCCCTGCAAAATTGACGCCAGTGCGAAAGGGTCAAAAGGCCGGGCCCGGCCGGTCGAAGGAAGAGGTCCAAGGGCGATCTCGCCCGTTTGCATATTCAAACCAACGCAGGTCCCGTCCCGTACCACAACAGCACACCTCTATTTCCATTGGAGATGGACATTCACTAGTTTGGTTTGGGAGGTGGAGGCGCGAGTGCTGGAGTATGATCTGAAGGCGGAGCGGATCTACCTCACCCGAAGGCCTCGGAGGGCGGCGGCAAACCTTATCACCACCATCCAGACCACATGTCAAGCTGGGGCCCACCGGTCTCACCTCGATGGGTCCTTCGCACGCGCGCGCTCGTGCCAAGTGGTTCTGGAGGTCCGGTGACTTGGCGCGGCCTCGACGCTTGACGCTGGAGGAGGAGAACCACAACCCGGAGCCGCTCCGGAGGGTGCCCGGGAATAGAGGGTGGCCGCGGGGATGGGGATGGGAGGCCAAGTTCCGGTGCGTCAAGTGGCCGAACCAGTGGTTTTTGCCAGCTTTTGTCACATTTGGAAGTCGGACTGCAGTGACGTAGTACATCCAACCATTACAGCAAGCGAACCAGTTCTAAGCGGCTGAGCCTTTAGCAAAGGGTACGAAAGCGCGAAAAAGAAAAAAGGAGTCAATCAAAGAGTGTGTCGGACTCAGACGGTAGCTATCACCTGAGGCTAAATACAGACCTCAGACTGATCGTGATCCGAAACCACCGAGCGGTTGGCCGAGCTGGCTGGGCTCGGAGTGGGGTGAACTCCCAGTCCACCCCACTCGCCAGGTGGCACAGTCTGAATGGCTCGATGCCGAGGCCCTCTCTTTGATTGGGGGAGGTGATGCTCGTGGGGTGAAGAAGGCCTTAGAGGGAGGAGGCCTCGCAATCCGTATGGTATGATATGAATCTGATTGATTTATATAAAGCAAGTGGACCTGGCTTTAGCCGCAGATCAATGCATTCAGATGGGACATGCAGGATTGGGTTCAAAGGCTGCCAGACATCAGGCAACGTGTTCGTGGCACGTGCCGGCATGGAGAACTTTCTCAAGGTCAAGGTATTCAAAGGCCTTGCGGCAACAACGGAGCTGTTGGATCTAAAAGTGGAGAGAAACTCGGTGGTCTTTGACCTCATGGTGACCATCAAGAAGGACTAGAAGAAGCGGACTCAAGCCAAATTGCATGCCACCTAACGTGTCAATAGACTAACTACTGTAAACAATTACTTACTTATGGAACTTATGTATATATATATATACATATTAATTATGGAAATTACACCTACCTTGTCGATTGTGATGAATTGAACGCCTGCTCAGTTGAAAAAGAACTCGGGAACTTTTGAAGAGAATGGGCTGTCTTAGTTGTCATGGCCCGTCTGACAGAGGAACTCCAGATTCACTGGCGCCGCCAGCGGCTTCTGTGCAACGGAGAAAGCCTGGAGGAACATGCGAGGCAAGCGTCACAGTGGAACGAGTTTTTTGAGGCTATATAGTAGGATGGAATTGAGCCAGTTGAGAACTGGGTGTCCAATCCGGAATCCACATTGTGCTTCATCCATGCCATGCTTATATAAGATGCATTTGGTGTTGAACAAGGGGGCAAGCAACAGAGCCATTGGAAGGCGCGAGCAATTACTGCTCAAGAGTCCCGCCTGTTCCACATTATTTGGTTTTGTCGATTGGTCATGGCCCTTCGTCTAGACACTCAGTCAGAAGTCCCTACAGTCGATCTGTTGGCTGCGCGAGTTTGGGTCGTGACAGAAAGCCAGACCTCTGACAGATGAATCGAACGATGCGGTCTGCTGCGGTGTGCTGCCCTGGAAGGTGGTCAGACATCACTCAAGACGAGACCGTGGACATCCTCCTGTCTCTGGGCTCAATACGAGTAAGCAGCGAGTTTCTCGCGGGATATGGCGGGTAGCATGGGATGCCGGTGGGGCCCATTTGCAAGACCCAGACTTCGAAACAACGGACTCCGGAACGGGGCGATAGGTGCGAGGAGCAACGTTGTCTTTGGATCTGTGATCTCATGATTTGGAGACCGGGCAGGCACTGGGAAGGCTTGGGCCCCCTCCCGTCAGTCGCAGACATCCTTGTATAATCTTGTATGACGGTCACCCGAATCAATCAATTTGCAATGGTTACATGATACATCTTTTTTTACGTACTACTACCAGTACTTACTCTACCCTAACGGCCCTAGCGACCCTAACGGCCCGCTTTCTTGCGGCCTTTAGATTAGCCCTTGGCTCAATGGTCCCGCGCAAGCAAAACCAGCCTTCAGCCTTTGGTCTGCAAGATGTGAAGAAGACATACTGTAAGAAGACCGGAAAGTGCAAGGAAGTATGTCTTTCCCAAATACTTACTTCCCAAATATTACTAAATATCCAAATAGATTTAATATAATGATTCCCAAATAGATAGAATGCCCAGGGGAAGTAGTGAAGTCCTCCGGTCCCTTTCGCAGCTGAGGCTCCACTGTGATCACCGGCACCGAGAGCCCATCGTGGATCGCGAGAAGATGCTCGCCATGGTGCGGGGTTCCGCTGACTCTTTGGCCTTCGCTTCAGAGGATTTGCCGCTTTGGTGTGAAGACACTGGAAGCGAGCCGATGAAAAGGGATGGACAGATGGGTGTGCCAAACACAATGCAATAAACATCTGGGCATTTTGGAGCCTTTTCTGGGTTTGCACCATTGGACACGCAGGGAGGGCGGGCTTTGAGTAAATCAAATCCATTTCCCGCCAGACACTGCCAGACAGTCATGTGTTGGAGGGGGGGTGCTTGGACCCGGACGCTGGTGAAAGACACTAGCACCGGAACTGGAGATCTCTAAATCGAACCTTGACCTTTTCTGTTGCATCCTTTCGATCCTGTATTCATGTCGCTGTTTCTACGAAGAAGATCGCCTCGCAGCAGGAGGGCTGCGGCTAGGGCCTAGGGTCAGTTGGGTAGAAGTAGGCCAACACTTGAGCCATCTTGAGCACTGCGTTCCCGCTCGTTAGCGCTCTCGCATCGTTTCATGGTGACACCGCCGACCTGGCAACCTGGCCCTGCCGACATGGGCGATCCGAGGAAGAACGATCGTGAGGTGGTGACAGTGGCTGTGATGCAGTGGGGTGAGGCCTTGCAATATGCCAGCCGCAGTTTGCAGAAGGATCCGGAGATCCTCAGGCTGGCGATGGCCAAGGACCCTCGAGCCTTTTGCCGTGCTGGAAAGATACTACGCAAAGATCAAACATTTGCCACCTGGGCAGTGGCCAGACCGGAGAATGGAAGGGTTTTGGTTTCGTCAGATACGCCCACTTTGTTGACCAGTCGACCCCGTAAACCATTCTGTACTTATCAGCTTCTAGTGACGTGTAAACTAAGCTGATGGTTTGTGGCGGAAGAATGTGTTTTGTGTGCGCGTGTGCGTGCGCTTGTTTCTTCTTTCTTTGTCGCTACCATACTCGCCTTCGTTGTCATCCATTGTCCATGCTTACATATTTACGGGATCCCTTTTGGCAAACCAGGTGCATTTTGATCCTGACATGATGCGATTCGTCCACGAGGAGCTGCTGAAAAACAAGGACCTGCCGAGGTTGCGCTTTTCGACTCTTTGGTGTTTTGCTCCTTTTTTATCCTCATTTTTTTAGAGTTTAAAATGCACCATTGCGTTTCAACGCTTTTGTTGAGCTGGGGCAGCGATGGCCCTGCTATCCGCTGTCCATTTGTTGCTCAGACGTGATGAGGACTTCATGAAGCACCATGTACAGCGCTGTGCTTCATTGATACGCTATTCAACAGCTCGCCTGGACAAAGAGACCGTGCTCGGGGCGATGGAGCAGGATGGCTTAGCCTTGGAGTTTGTGAACCGTCCCCCGAACCGCTACGCTCAGGACGCCGACGTGGTCCGCGCCGCGGTGAGACAAAACGGCCTCGCCTTGCGCTTCGCCTCGGAGGTCCTCCGAGAGGATGTACAGATGGTGCGTGAGGCGCTCGAGTCGGATGAGCGTGCTCTGAAGTTTGTGAGCTCCAAAGACCTGGTGTGCAAGCTGGTGAGTGAAAGGCCTTCTGCGCTCAAGCATGCTCAATGGGAACCTCGGGTGCTGAAGTTAAGCGCAGGTTCTTTTTTCTTTTTCGTAGCGGTCCCCCTAACAAAGCCACTGCGGAGCTGATCTGCCCTTGAAAAGAGGGGATGCCGTTTTCCATCCCTGCTTGCTTCGTCCTTGTCTATCTTGTCTTGGGTCCTCCGGTGCGGTCCCCTTCTGGTTTGCACCGGGCGCGTGGGGCGGTCCGCTGGAGGACTTTCACGAGGATGCCGAGGTGGTGGAAGCCGCCTTTGCGTCCGATCCGGCAAGCCTCATGTTCGCTGGCACCCAGGCGGCGCTCCACATGATTTCCAAGCATGGGAATGTCTTGGAACTTCTGAAGCCATCGCTCCGACGGGATGAGCGTGTGCTGGCAGCCGTCGCCGAGTTCGCGTCTGGTGGAGCATGCCGACGTCAGGAAGCTTCAGGACTTCCTTGACCTGCGCGCGTGAGAACAAAATATGGGAGACAGGCTATGAACTATGAACAGCAGAAGGGCGTGATGGCGATAGTCGATAATGAAGCACTGGGCTTTTGATCATGGAATAGAGACATACCTACCGCCTATACACTTGCAGGGTGAGGGATGGCCTTGTATTGATTCAGAGGGCCATGCGTTCTCCTCATCCCCTTGCCCTCCAGAAGCCTAACATGGAGGTGCGCCATTCATGGCTTTGCCATGAAATTACCGTAAATCCATGCGAATACTGCGGGGATTGTTGTTGCGAATCAAGGCCAATGCTCAAGGCTTTACCAGCAGTGGGCTGATCCATTCCCTCTAGTGGTGGACCACACCTGGGCATCACAGGATGAGCCAGGTGTGTTTTGCACCCCGGAGGTCCTGAGCCTGGTGACCTTTGGCGCCTTCGTGAACGTCTACCCGTCGTGGGGCGGGGGAACTCCAGATGTTCAGCGGTCCTCCGCCTCGAGGGAAAGTCGGGCTCGAAACGGTTTAGGTGGCGAGGTTTTGTTTGTTTTCTGCATTTCTCTCCGGATGTGCGGGCTCTGAGGTGACAAGACGCCTGTCGTTGGATTGCTTCCAAGCTGAGCACCAGCGGGCAGGGCGGGCAGGTGCTGTTCGCAGTAGGTAGGTTCCCTACTGGAAATGCTCGGGGGATTGTGCCCACCGGATGCTGTCACGGAGGGTCCGCACGATCGCCTGATGCTGAAGGGAGCCTCTCCTGGCCCCACCTGAGGCTTCACAAGAAGGAGTTTGCGGCCGATTTCGCCCAGGACCCTGAGAAGGCACTGTTTTTGCAGGTTGATTTCCAGCCGCTTTTCGATCGGTTTTCGAGCTGTGCTTTTTTGACGTGGCTCGCCGAACGCCGAAACATGGGGAAAAACATGGCGTGCCGGGTGCATTGGGCAGAGTCATTGGCAAGGCGATCCGCGGCGGACGCATTAAAGTGCGCAAACTGTCGTGAGGGCACCCCAGCGCACTGAATCAAGCAAAGGTTTTTCGTTGTGGTCAGGCCAGTGAGATATTGTGATTGAGACTTCAAATCCAGTGATGCAGTGGATTCGAAGCCCAGGCTCAACAGCAGAGGTGAGTCGGGAATCCCAGTGGTTTGGGTGTGGGCTTCGGCTTGGAGGAGGACGACACTTGGGGACCAGTTCTCATCGGACACTTGGGGGGCACGTGGTACGCGTACATTTTGGGCGCCATCTCTCAGGTTGAAGGTGACTATGAAGCAGCCCTGAGAAGAAGAAAGCTGCGGCGCATGGCTTGAAGGTGCTTGAAGGTTTTGGTTTCACATTTTCTACATGATCTACATGTCAACCGGCATGTTTCCACATGTTGCGTTTCCAGCATAAATTAGGAGGCACAAATTTAGAGATGAGGGCTCGAGTGAGGCGGTTTGGCAGTTGCCTGGCGGCTCTAGAGGGAGAGAGAGAGAGAGAGCGAGCTGCGTGTTGTGATTCTTTCCCTGCTGGTGGGGCGAAGAAGCATAATTAGTGTCACTCTCACTACGATTTTCTTCCTCGTTGCCGCTCCTTTTTGGATCAGCGCCGGCTGGCGTCGGGGAAGGGGGTCGGAGCTGCCCGCCGCTGTGTGCGACCTGCGCACAACTTGCGAAGGTGGCAGGTAGCGCAGGCTTGACATGGCTTGACAATAAAAGTCTATTTATATATTTATTTATAGAATTTATATATATATATATGTATAACTGTATAACTGTATAATGCTTTTCTGATTGCCCAGGTGCCCAAGACAGTGTCAAACTCACATGTGGGGTGTTGAACTTTATCTCGAATCCACATAGAATCTAGTTACTCAACGATGTTGAACGGACTTGGCTGTGCCAGTGAGGCGCATGCACGATGTCCCAGCAGGGGTGCCTCAAGGCGCCAGAGGGGGGTTCTCAAAAGTGATTTCACTCTCTCGAAAAGCAAAGCACGTGGTGAGTGTTGGCCCAAGCAGGTGTTGTTTCTTCCAGGCAGTTTTCGGATAATCTTTTTTTGTGGCCTTCTGGCAGCTTCTAGTCTATGGCTTCCACCTTGAAAGTGATAGTAAGTGATGCTATTTTTAGTATTCCAACTGGCGAAGGAGAACGACTGTGGTCCTGGTGAGTGAGTCTGTTCACCCACCTGACCTTCCTAAAGACTTCCCCTCTTTGAAACCGCAGGCCCCCGTGGCGGTGCGCACCGGCGTGCCCGGGCCGGGAGCCTATGGTGAGGGCATGCCTGGACCGGTTGCAACATGGACCCTATAGCTTGGCCACCACCCAGGTAAGGGACATTCCTGAACTCGGGCCACCTAGTCAGACCATGTTTATAGTCTTGCACTTCCAGGGTGGAAGGGTGTGGACGTCGAGCACAAACACCGCCTCTCCCGGGATGACGTCGGAGCTCCCTGAGGTGAAGCCTGGCAAAGCGACGCCTGTGGCCCACCTGGCTTTTCTTGGTCGAGACTGAAGCGAAATCTATCTCAAGCACTTTGGTCCAATCACTTCCTCGTCGCCGCCGATCCGCCCCCAATTCACTCCCGCAGCCCGTTCTCGCGGCTCGAACACGACCCGTTCGGGGGCGATTCCAAGAGACTGCCATGGCCTTGGATGTTGCAGGGAAGACAGCGGCTCGGCATCGCTCCCACATTCAGTTGGGCCACAGCCATCTTTCAGCCTCCGCGCCGGAGTCACCGGAACCCTCTCCCCTACTGCATTCTCCCCTTTTTTCACAGTCTGCCTTCAGGTGGTGATCACTGGCGCCAGCGCGGGCATCGGCCGCGAGCTGGCACTTCTCATGGCGCGCAAGGGCGCGCGGCTCGCGCTGTTGGCGCGGCGGAAGCCGCTCTTGGAGGAACTGGCGCAGGAGTGCCTTGGCGGCTGGGTGCGGGGGCGGAACACTCACTCCAGATTCCCATGCATCTCTGAAAGAGAGGGAGTGGATGGGCGTGGTGTGGGTTCATTATTTTCGACCAATGGGCTGCCCGAATGACTTGGAACTGAGCTGAGCTGACTACTGGTCAGATGTTTTCTTTTCCTGGAAGTGGATGGTGACTTGGGTAGTCACCTGCTGGCCAGTGCTTTTTGCCAGGTGTGGTGCTGGAAGCCAGGCGATGGCGGTGCAGTGCGATGTGACGCAGCGGCCCTCCTGCCAAGCGGCCATCCAAACGGTTGTGCCGCGTTTGCATCATCATGGGAACGAAACATCGAATGAGCCACCAGCACGAGTGCTTGGTGTTCAGAGTGCTTGGTGTTCAGAGCGCTTTTTTTGGGCCTCTTGGTGGGGTAGACTCTCACACTGACCAGGCACCGTGGGGCCAGTCGGTCACGTCGCCCCCTTCGTCTGGGAGAGCACATGAGGTGAGCGAGTTCAAAGAGATCGACATCCTGATCCTCAATGCAGGAATGAGCATGGGATGCTATTTTGAAGACATTAAGGATTTGGCGGATGGCGACTTCATGTTGTCCCTGAATGTGATGGGCGTGGCCAATGTTCTGCATTACGCATTTCCTTTCATCCCTAAAGTCCGTGGATCTCGCATCGTCGTGATTTCATCGATTGCTGGAGCGATTGGCGTCCCCTTTCGGACCCTTTACTGCGCATCCAAATGGGCCGTGAATGGCTTTTGCGCCTCCCTGCGCACCGAACTGGAGGAAGCCTACGGCGAGAACGCACCCAAAGTGGTGGTGTCCTGCCCTCCCGAGGTGGACGGAGATGGTTTTTTCGGGGTGTTTGTTTCCTTTGAACAAAAAGTAACATAAGGAGAAACTAAACGTTCCAGTATGTTCAATCATGTTCAAACATGACGGAGGCATCTCTGAATGCCTCCGTGCTTTAGGGTGAAGCTTGGCAGGCGCCAACAGCACGTGTGAAAATAGCTGTTCATGCGACACATGCTTGCCCTGAGGTCGCCACGGGGTTGAACACAAATCGATTAAAATTTGGCAACGAGGCCACGGCCCAGTTTGATGAGAAGACCGCCGCCTCACCCACCTTGGCGGCACAGCTGATCTTGGACGCCATTTGTGAAGGGGTGCGGATCGGTTTCTTCTCGAAAATGTGCCTTTTCAAGGGCATACTGACTGTTTGCTTTGATTTTGCGTAAGATATTTTAAGCAGTTTCTTAATGGGTAGAAGCTCCCCTAAAGAAAGTCTGTGAGGCCACGAAGCACCTTTGTTGGCGCGTTTGTGCGTTTGTGAGGCATGCCTGGCTCCATTCCTTGTACGCTTGCTGCCCCAGCCGCATCGACAAGATGATCATCGATGGGGTGAAGAAATCCCACCGCGCACCTCGCTACGGCAACATGTAGCAGTTTTGAGAGCCGACCGGTGGAAAGCCCGAGCCGACCGAGCCCGGCCCAAGATGGAGGACGAGACTCCTTTGAGCTGAGCGGACGGCGTGTGACAAGAATGGTGGGTGTTGTCCGGGACGGCTGCACGGACTCCTGGCAGTGCTCGGGATGACCGCCAATGGTCATTTTGTAGGAGAGGTTCGAGGTCAGACTCCTGTGGTACGAGAGGACACTAGAAGATCATAGAGAAAGCTTGATGAACCTTTGTAGCTGAGACTAGTAGATACCAGTAGTTTCATGCTAACATATGCAGTAGTACAGTAGTATCTAATGCTGCAGTAGTCCCGGTATGTCCCGGTAGCAGCGATGTAGTGGCTGCAGGTCAAAACAATACCTGCAGTCTACATTAGTGTGTGGGGTCAGGCCCTCCCATTTTATAGAGCGTCGGCTTGTACCTGTTTACGAGGTTTGATGTTTGAGTTCAGATGAGAAAATGATGGAGAGGATCCATGAAACTGAAAATAGTGTGAGACCGTGTGGGGTGAGGGTCGTTAAATGTACGGAAGCGCTATGCGCTCTTTTTGTGCTTAAAAGGGCTTCGGTGCGATCATAGCCATAAGGCCTTCGAAACTTGGTACACTTCGATTTGTGCACCCACACTCCCCCTTTGGCCGACATGGCCGAACACAGGGTCACAAATTGACAAAAAGCCATCCTCCTCTTCGGAGGTATGCTCAAGCCCCCTTCCTCACTTCTAGCCGGTCTTAAAGAGCGTGTAGCCCACCCAGCTGAACGGCAGGTAGCAGCCCTTCCGGCCCGATCGCTGGTCGACCACGATCAACTTTGTCTTCCCGAGCGTGCTTCCGACCACCTGCCACGCGATCGTCATTCGCCACGGGCTCCACTCATCCAAGTCCCAAAGCCTGGTGGTCTCAAAGTCGTACATCTTCTTTCGATCTTGCATGTGCTCCCTCACCGTGATCTTCTTGCCATGTTGATGGTCCTCCAACAAAAGCCAATCGTCCTTGGCTGAGGTCCTCCTCGGCGGGATCCCCACTCTTCGACGAAGCTTCTCCGTCAAAAAGCCCGGCTGGAAGTTCATGTCCCTCAAAAAGTCCAGCACCTCCTCATTCTTCACCTCCCACCTACCCATCGTGATGCCGTAGCCGACGTGGGTGACCAACCGCAGAGGGCCATCAATCGAAGGACCAATTCCTGGTGTTGACTCCATCAGCTCTGGCTGTCGATCTGCAGCTCCTTGCCCGTCTCCGCCCCCTTCTCCGTCACCTTGTGGTTGACTCGAGGAAGCAGCCTGCACCCTTCGCTCCATTCCAGGCTCGCTGTAGACGATGTGGTTGCCCTCCGAGTCCACCCTGACCCAGGTTCCACCAAAATTCCTTCTCGGGCCCCTTCGCTGCATCATGCGGTCCCAGGCTGTCGGTCTCAACCCCAGTTGAGCCCTCCTGTTTCGCTCTGCCTCATAGTTGTATTCCCCACGATGCCATACATCTGGATCGGGTACTTGACGTCGTCCAGCTGGTTCAGGTCGGACAGCAGGTGGTTCCTCTGGAACATCCATCTCCTGTGACTCCGATGGCTGCCCAGTGGATGTCCTCCGTGACTCTTCTGGCCTCGAGTCGACCCTCATCGCTCTCACCGAGATCCTGTTCACCGGGTTTCGGGTTCCCATCTCCTGGTGCTGGTAGGATGGGTCGTCTGGCTCTGCCCACGGGTAAAGTTCTTCGTGGGCTGAGTAGCCGAATCCCCGCGACCCTCGTGCAGTCGTGGTCAACTCCTCCACACAGTTCACCTCCAACTCCAGGATCTTCTCGATGACCAGCTGGGCGACGCGATCTCCTTTGTAGATCCGTAGGTCCACATCAGAGTGGTTTCTCAACAGCACTTTGACTTCCCCCCTGAAGTCCCTGTCGATCACTCCAGCCCCAGTCTCAATGCCTCGAATTGCCAACGACGACCGCGGTGCCACTCGTCCATAGCTACCCCTCGGAAGTTCCAACGCGATCCCGGTCTTGATCAGCACGCTGTCTCCCGGCTGTACCATGGTCTCGATGGTGGAGTAGAGGTCCAACCCAGCGGCCTGCTCTGATCCTCTAGTCGGAAGGATGGCATCTGGCGACAATAATTTCACCTTCAGCTCCTCCTGCTTGAACCACCTCTGTACTCCCGCTGCCCCGACCCTGAAGAGGATGTCGCCCAAGATGGCAATTCCTTGACCGTCTCGGATGCTTCGGCCCTGGTGACCATGCTTGCTACCACGATCATTAGTCCGATCACCTTCAGGAATCTCGGGTCAGGTGGACTCCCACTTATGTCCATCTTCTTCACTTCGATGTTCTTCGCCCCATCATCACTCTCTCTCTCAGCCTCAATGCCTTCTTGAAGTTCAGGAGAGGTTGTCCGGTCAGCTGCTTCGTCATGCCGTCCGCCACCAGCTCTGTCCCAGCCACGTGTTCTAGAGACACTTCCTTCAATCTCAAAGCCTCGGTCAAACCTGCTGCCCTGATCCTCAAGTGTCTCGTTCTCCACGACGATGTAGTTCCAGCTGCAATGGCGATGGCTGCTGTCGAATCGGAGTGCAGTTTGACCTGGGCCTTCTCACCAAGGACTGCCTCCATCAACGATCCCGCTGACCTTCCACAGATCAGACTCTCCAGCAGCGACATCAGTTCAGCCTCCGCCGTCGACAGGGTGATGAACGCTTGCCGTGTCGTATGCCAAGCAATCGGCGTGCCTCCCACACAGACCACGATGCCCGTCAGACTCTTCATGTCCGATGACGCATACGAGGCATCTGAGTACACTTCGACTCGGCTCAACCCATTCCCCATCTCCTCTTCAGTGTCGCCCGTGCCGGAAATGCACAATGCCTCCCCCCTGGTCTGCCGGAGATAGGCCCTCACCTGCTTTCCGATGGCCATCACCGCCTTCGGTCTTTTCGTGGCCCACTGGCACATGATGTTCACTGCGAGGCAGACATCTGGTCTCGTTCTCCCCGCCACCCACAAGAGTTCACCGGTCTCCTTCTGGGCCTGAGTCACCTCCGACAACTGCGGGTTCTCTTCCTCCTCCGGGGTCTTAATCTGGCTCAGAGATGCCCTCCCCTGTTCGTCATACTCCATGAACAGG